CTGTGAGAGATGGAACTCAATGGGACTGCCTTGTTTTTCTGAGTCTCACAAATTTTCTGCCTTCAACATGGTGCTGTCCTACAACTTTTTTTCTTCTCATTTTAGTAAACTATATTAGCATTTTCCTCCTTTGACAGATTTCCACCTTATTCAGGTTCCATTTTCACAGATTTTACTATATTTAATACTGAACACTTACTATTTTTTTCTTTCCACATTGGAAATTGGCTTTAAATATTAGAGCTTAGAGGGTCCATTTTATTTATTTTAGGTGAAACTTTTGATATCTGAAATTTAATTACTATGGTTAATATGTAGAAGCCCTGGTAGCATAGTACCTAAGGCACTTGACTGTCAACCAGAAGGCTGGCGGTTCAAACCCACCAGTCACTCCTTGGAAGGAAGGTTGGGCAATCTATTTCCATAGTGATACCACCTCGGAAACTCAAGGAGGGGTCGCTATGAGTCAGGTCTGACTCAATGGCAAATAACAACAACAACAACAATACTTAATATAGATATTTGGTTTTATAATATGTCTCTGGTCACACTCATTTAGGAGTAAGTCAACTTACACAAAGCCTCTTACTTTGTGCTAAGGTATAATGTCTGAACTCAAGACAACATTCTATGTCTTCAGCTCAGGTGTCCTTCCAGCTTCCTGACTTCCTCAAGTCCCACCATGGAATTCTGCTTGTTTTCAAACTTCACACAAAAGTTGATAGTCCTCTATTCTATGTTAAGATGTCATCCATGAACTCTTGACTTGAGCATGTCAGCCCTATGCATTCCTTCTTCCACCTATTGATTCATCTACCCAAGACATCCTGTGATTATGATCATTCACCTCACCTCGCCTTTCAGAAGTAATCTCTCCCTTCTTTAAATCTCCAAAGCACTTGTTATTACTCAAGATTCCCAATTCAGTCATTTGCTGGTTTTATTTTTCTTTTAGACACTGTATTTCTTCAAGAAGAATCTAGTCTTTCCTAATTTTTCTATTCATTTATTCAACAATTACTGGTTTAGCAGGTATTATGGACCAGGCACTGTTGCAGGCATTGTGAATATATATATTTGTGTGTGTGTGTGTGTGTGTGTGTATAATGCCATTTGGTGATAATGGGAAAAAATAGAACAAGACATAAAAGGTAGACATTAGAGAAACCGGGGTAGGAAGTGGGTTGCTATTTTATGTAGTGTTATTTCAGGGAAGATCTCTCTGCTGAGCTTGGGGCCCAAATGTATGCCTGAGAGTGCAGAGCCTCAAAAACCGTAGGTGCTTACTCAGTGTTCATTGAATAATTAATAATTAAACTAACTTCTTGATAAGGGGGAAAGTGGGGAGAAAGGGAAAAGAGAGACAACTTTTAAATCACAGGTTCACATAACCATAAAATGGACTTTTTATTTTGTTTTGAAAATCATCGTAATCACAAGGAAGGGCCATGAGGATGGCCTTAGATATTTCCTATCCAGGCAAATCCAAATGTAATTGGCCAGGTTCAGCCTGTGCAGAATTCAATAAGCCTGCAGCTAATTCTCATACAGGTCAGAACATCTAAGAGCAGTATGTCTGATATTGAACCAAATTCCCTTTGTGTGTTTCTCAGAGTATTGTCATATTTACCCAAGTAGCATACAGGCATTTTTACCCTAATGAATATTTATAATAAATAAATATCAGCTTTGCTGTAACTTTGAAATTTTAGATTGTTATAAAATATTTTGGTGTTTACCTTTTTCCATTTTTCTAATTTTTAACATTTTATTTTTTGTGGTATTAAATTCTATGTTTATATATAATTGAGGAAAATAGATGATACAGCAATATTATGGAAATAGAGCCTAAGTTATCAATATTCATATTTCCTTTATGAATATGTTTAATAAAGAAAATAGGAACACTGGTGACATAGTACCTAAGGCATTTGACTGCTAACCAGAAGGCTGGTTGTTCAAACCCACCAGCCACTCCTTGGAAGAAAGATTGGGCAATTTACTTCTGTAGTGATATTGCCTGGGAAACCCAAGGAGGGGTCATTATGAGTCAGATCCAACTTGACAGCAGTGAGTTTGGTTTTTTTTTTTTTCTTTTGGTTTAATAAAGAAAATAATATATAGTTTTGGAATTATATAGTGTATAACTTGCAATCAAATTCCACTATTATTTGCAATTTCCAGACAAAAATCTCTGAGCCAGAATTTTTACTTCTTCCTTTATATTTGAAAGATTGATTAATCTGAGTCATTGGCCATTCTCCAAAACTGCCAACCTGAGTTTCTGTCAGGGTGGGCTCATCATTACATCTTCTAGGAATTCCTTGGGTGAATGCAGACATGGGCTCTCAGCTATTGGATTGTGACTTCGTAATTTATATGCTATGTCCATAAAAGCAGCATCTACTCTGCTATTGAAATGAAAAGGCACAACCAAAGTTCTGTGGTTGAATTCATTCTCTTGGGCTTTTCTAACTTTCCTGAACTCCAAGCGCAACTCTTTGGGATCTTCTTGGTTATTTATCTGGTGACTCTGATGGGAAACACAGTCATTATCATTGTCATCTCCCTGGACCAGCGTCTTCATGTCCCCATGTACCTGTTCCTCCAGAACCTGTCTGTGGTGGAAGTGAGTTTCAGTGCAGTCATTATGCCTGAAATGCTGGTGGTCCTCTCCACTGAGAAAGCGACTATATCTTTTGCTGGCTGTTTTGCACAGATGTATTTCATTCTTCTTTTTGGTGGGACTGAATGTTTTCTCCTGGGGGCAATGGCTTATGACCGATTTGCTGCAATCTGCCATCCTCTGAGCTACCCAGTGATTATGAACAAAAGGGTTTTTATGAATTTAGTTATATCCTCATGGGCCTTAGGTTTCACAATGACTACTGTACAAACTCCATGGGTTTTTAGTTTTCCTTTTTGTGGACCCAATGAAATTAATCATCTCTCTTGTGAAACCCCTCCGGTGCTAGAGCTTGCATGTGCGGACACCTTCTTGTTTGAAATCTATGCATTCACAGGCACTCTTTTAATTATTCTGGCTCCTTTTGTTTTGATACTCTTGTCCTACATTTGGATTCTCTTTGCCATCCTGAAGATGCCATCAACCATGGGGAGGCAAAAGGCCTTTTCCACCTGTGCCTCTCATCTCATATCTGTGACCCTCTTTTATGGCACAGCCAGTATGACATATTTACAACCCAAATCTAGCTACTCTCCAGAAACCAAGAAACTGATGTCACTGTCCTATTCATTGCTTACCCCTCTGCTGAACCCACTGATCTACAGCTTGCGAAATAGTGAGATGAAAAGAGCTTTCATGAAATTATGGCGAAGAAAAGTGGTTTCACACATAGTCTGACTGTGTTGAGAATCCATGTGGTATTTGCTTTCTACTCAATTGCCCTCTATTTAAATTTAATAAATGGTGAAATAGATTCTTTTTCTTGGTTTGATTGTGTTTAATTTCTTGCATCTCCATGTTTGATAATATATCCAGACATGCTTATATATTAACATTTTATTATTTTTCACAGATGGACAATGTTCATTCACGTTGGATGCAACAATTTCTCCAATCATTTCCTTATTGATGGTCATTTAGGTGGTTGTTAGTTTTTTGTCAGTACATATAATGCTAAAATAAAGAATCTAATTACACACATTAATAAATTCTTGTGCTGTGGAATGATTCCACAAAATTGTTTTGATATATCAAAGTGAATATGTGTTTGCAAATTTTAATAGATACTGCCAAATTACTTTTCAAAATTCTTGGAACTACTTCAGGCTAACTTGAAGACTCACTTTACCCCAAGAAGCTAACAACTAGAGAGATGGGATTTTTACTTTTGGAGTTAAAATATGGTTTATGATTCAGTACAAAAGAGTAGTATTTATTGAGAAGATCACAATGGCTCTAACTGGGACCCACAGAGCTTATAATCCAAAACTGTATTTTATCTGGGTATCTTAGAAAACATTCATGCAGTATTATAACTTGAGAGCAGCTTGTGATGGTTTTTAAGATCATTTATAC